CTTCTTCTTCTTCTTCTCCTCTCCTCTTCTCCTCCTACTCCTCCGAAGTTCTTCTTCTTCTTCTTCTTCTTCTTCTTCTTTTTCTTCTTCTTCTTCTTCCTCTTCTTCTTCTTCCTCTTCTTTATCAGAGTAGAGATAGAGGTAACTGCAGACATTGTTTTGGACACGGCCTTCTACCTTATTGGACACGACATTTAGATCGGACTTACACTCTACATTGGGATTGAGTTGTGTGCGACATTCGGAGATCAGACTTGGGTTGGACTTGGTTACCTCTACGTCCCTCCCCCTTCTCTCTCGCATGTCTATGGATCTCTTCCCATATGTGTGAGCGGAAGGGCAATCTTTCTAGTGTCTTGCCCTTCTGAAGTTTCTCCCTTTGATGTTGTTGTCCACGTGTCCTCTTGATACTAAATCTTCCACTGCGCTGCTTCCCGGCCTATGATGATAGTGATACGAATGTGTTGTTGTTGAATTCTCGTTGTTTTACTCTTTGCATCGTGCACATTGACACCTTGTGAATGTTACACCTATGCTGCTGGTTGTTGCCAGTTTCGTCATTGCTAGATCCTAGGCTTTCAGTGCATTTCACTTTCTGATATGCTACTAGTGGTATCGGAGCTAGTGCGATGAATCTTGGCAACAACCAATCAATCGGTTGATTGATTGGATTGGCGGTTTGCCACCAATCAATCTTCGATTGATCAGTCAATCAAGAGATTGATCGAACTATCGATCAATCAACCAGCAATCATCTGAGATTGACTGATTGATTGATTGATTGATTAATTGATTGATTGATTGATTGATTGATTGATTGATTGATTGATTAATTGATTGATTGATTGATTGATTAATTAGTTGATTGATTATTTGACAATTTTTTTATCTTGGAAATTTCCCAGAATTTATTAATTATTTATTTATTTTTCTTTTTTCGAGATTTTTCTTTTTTTTTTTAAGAAATTAGTTCTTTTTCCGAGAAAAGTTTTTCGAGAAATTATTATTATTTTTCGAAAAATTATTTTTCCGAGAAATTTGGTTTCCAAGAAATTCTTTTTTTTTCGTTCTGAGAATTCTTTTTCCGAGAATTTTTTTTATTACCTTATTTAATTGTTAAATATCTGCATTTTGACAAATTCGATTCTTTTTCCGAAAATGTCCCTCTACACTTTCACTGCGTAGGTTTGCAAATTCCGTTCGTTTTTTCAAAAAAAAAAATAAAACGGCATTCTTTCCTTTCTGCAACCTACTCCTACTCTGAGTTGTAAAGATACTTCTTTCTGATTCTCTGCAGTTGAGCACCGAAGGTTCACATTTGCTTTCTGCATTACCTTCGGTACTCAGTGGGATTGGACAGTCTTTTTCGAATTTTGATTTATTTTTTTTCTTTTTTTTTATTAGGGAACTGTTCAATTTGGGATCTGTCCGATCCTTCCCACCTGTCTACTGCCTACCTGTTCTTTCCCTCCAAGTCCGAATATTGGGCCAGTCTATCTGATTGGCCCATAGGTGACTCTTCAGAGCAGTGCATGCCACGACTCACTCGATCACAGACCAAGACCATGGACCGGAAGGAGGGAGAATCCCTCCTCGCCTATGAGGAACGCCTGACTGCTTTCATCCAGGAGGCCAATGACAGGGCTGCCGCYGCGGCCAAGGAACGTGGTCRGATTGAGCAAGAAGAGGAGGCCAAGCGACAGAAGGAMGAACAGGACCGACTTCGTCAAGAGGAGGCAGACMTGCAGGCGACAGCCGAACACCGGTCACACCAGCGGGAACGACTGTTCACGCGGGAGACCGTGATCGGCGATGAGGCCGCACATTGGGTGCAAGTGGCATCTGCAGACGAGGCCTCGGAGACTGAGAAAGGGTTGTCAGCCCTTGCGCAGGTCTCCCACGACCTTGTGGCCACCTGCGTTCTGCAGCAGGAGGAAATCCTTCACCTGCAGCAAACCGTGGACCAGATGCTCGCACGACTGAAGGCGTTGGAAAAACAGCCAGCTGCTGTAGCAGCCGCAGGGCCTTCAAACCTTGCCACCAGTGTTCAAGTTTTGGAGGACGACGTCAGCAATATCAAGCGTGTGCATCAGGACTTCAGGACGTCGCAGCAAGCAACGGACTTGCAGTTAGAGATGCAGGTCCAGGCTGCTGCCACCGTGACGCCCGCCGCCGCATCCTCCAGCCGCCCACCCAAGCTAGATGACATTCCAGTTTTCTGCGACCAGTCCAAGACGGAACCGATCCCGTGGTGGCGCCAGTTTACTCTCCGGCTCGACATGCTCCATGTCCCGAACAACAATCGACATCTGTGCTTGTACCACCGATCTGGTGGTGCGTGTCAAGCATGGTTGGACAACATCTTGACCAGCCACGGCGTAGCAGTGTCGGAACTGCACACCAAGCTCACTTGGCAGGAGTTGACTGACGTCTGGCACAAGCGATTCCAAGTGGAGCCGCCCGACCTGCAAGYGATGGACAAGCTCAACAAGCTCCATCAGAACACGCTGCTCAGTCAGGACTGGATTACCGAGTTCCAAAGACTCGCCTCCACACCTGACCTGCCGCTCGCATTCCACACCATCAAGCACTTGTTTATCATGCGTTCGTGTCCAGCTCTGCAAAACGCGCTGACGCAGATTGCAGAGATGCTCGACACATCTGACAAGCTTTTCAGCACAGCGTCACGGATCATTCTCACGAATATCGAAGCCCGCAACGCCGGCCGATCTTCCGCGACGACGAGCGGCACCCAGCCCAAGCCAAAGGTGGCTTGCATTACTTCTACCGAGGCTGCAACACCAAACGAGGGTGAAGTGTTGGCAGCTGCCCGGGATGGTGGCCGGCCGCGCAACAACTACGGCCGCGACAAGACGAAGACTCAATCCACCTCTACACCAAGCACTGGATCAGCCGCCGACGAACCTTGGGCACAATACGGACTCTCGGCGAATTCTTATCACACGAGACTCAAGTACCGTTACTGCCTTTGGTGCAACAGCACCATCCACGATGCTGCACATTGCCCCACCAAGGGGAAACCCCGTCAGGGAAAGTAGGCGCCGCCGAGGGTGACTCGACACCTCCCTCGACGCCATCGGAAGCGGTTGTGACTACGACCGCCCTTTCTTCCGAGGCATATGCGGATGTCGGGAGTCTTCCACTTTCGTTCGAAGACTTCGCTGCCCGGCTCGTTCCTTCACTGGATGTTTCTCAAGGACAAGATACATTTGCGGTTTTCTCACCGTCCGAAGGTTCTTCCGCCAGTTCATCTTCATCAAGGGATTCGGCAAGCGTGTTCAACGAGGAGGCTTTGGACCCGCTCACGCCCGAGGACTTCGCTTGGATTCCTCTCCCTACGACGGGCAACCTTCCGGGGCCGCAAAGCGCAGCCCTATGCRCCCTCTTACAYSMGTATCTTTCCTTCCATGCACCACCAACTTCGCCGACGGTAGACGAAGTTGCGGTGAGGGACATGCTTGGCTACGTTGCCAAGGTGGCCCGCGAGTTTGTCTCGCAACGGTACGAAGAAAACAACGCACCGTTGCTCTACGTTCGCATTCAAATTGGGCAAGCGGCCTGCAACGCTTTGCTAGATTGTGGCGCAACTCGCAACTTCATCAGCCAGTCCTTCATGACTCAGGCTGGCCTTGGCGCACAAGTACGGAGGAAGTCACATCCGACGACGGTCGCTCTTGCCGACGGTAAGACGAAACAGCTTTTAGACCGTTACATCTCGGCTGTCCSGGTGTACTTTGCACCGCACGCATGTGAACCCGTCACTTTYGACGTRTTGGACACCGACTTCGATGTCATTTTGGGGATGCCTTGGCTTTCTAGCACGGACCACACAGTCAATTTCCATCGACGCACGCTCACGATTCGTGATGCAACTGGCGCCGAGGTCCCGTGTACTATTCCTCCTCCTCGCTCTTCCATTCGGTGCCAAGTCGTGAGTGCCAAATCTTTTCGATACACATGCCGTTCCGAGCATGTCGAAGAGATTGACATCGCTTTTTTTCGAACTGTCCCGACGACCGATTCATCGTCCACGGATATGTCTTTCGACCCCCGTGTGACCCGGTTGTTAGACGAGTTCTCGGATGTTTTTTGAGACACCCTCCGGTATATTGCCAAACCGGCCAATCTCTCACGAGATCATACTTGAGGCCGGCGCCGTGCCACCGAAAGGATGCATTTATCGCATGTTCGAGGAGGAGCTCACGGTTCTCCGTGCGCAACTCGACGATCTACTTGACAAGGGTTGGATCCGCCCTAGCAGCTCACCTTACGGTGCGCCCGTTCTCTTCGTTCGGAAGAAGAACAAGGACCTTCGACTTTGCATTGAATACCGACGCCTCAACGCGCAAACCATCGAGAACGCTGGGCCTCTACCTCGCATTGACGATTTGCTAGAGCGGTTGGGCGGCGCCAAGTACTTTTCCAAGTTGGACCTCAAGTCGGGCTACCATCAGATTTCCATCCGCCCGCAAGATCGGTACAAAACCGCGTTTAAGACGCGATATGGGCATTTTGAGTGGGTAGTTATGCCTTTTGGCCTCACCAATGCCCCGGCCACCTTTCAGGTGGCCATGACCACCGAGTTTCGCGCTATATTGGACCGCTTCGTCTTGGTCCACTTAGACGACATCCTCGTCTATAGCCGAACTCTAGAGGAGCATCTCGAGCACCTTCGCCGTGTTCTAGAGACTCTTCGGTCATTCCGGTACAAAGCTAACCGCGACAAATGCGAGTTTGTCCGGCAAGAGTTTGAATACTTGGGTCATTTTGTCTCTCCGAAAGGCATTCGTCCGTTGGCGGACAAGATTCAAGCCATCCAGGAGTGGCCCGAGCCGAAGAATGTGACGGATGTCCGATCCTTCCTCGGTTTGGCCGGTTATTATCAGCGTTTCATCAAGAGTTACTCGAAGATCGTGGCCAACCTAAGCAAGTAACAAAGTGTGGAGCAGCCTTTTGACTTCGACGACGATGCGCGCCATTCTTTTGAAACACTCAAAGCGGCACTTTTATCCGCCGAGGTGTTACATATTTACGACCCGCTTCTAGCTACGCGCGTCACTACCGATGCGTCGGGCTATGGCATTGGGGCCGTCTTTGAGGAGGACGATGGCACGGACTGGCACCCAGTCGAGTACTTTAGCAAGAAAGTACCTCCCGTGCATTCGATCGAYGACGCACGGAAGAAGGAGCTTCTTGCCTTCGTCCACGCCCTCAAGCGTTAGTGACATTTCCTCCTTGGTCGGAAAGCATCCTGATGGGTAACGGATAACAATCTGTTGGTATTCTACAAGTCGCAAGACATGATTAACAGTGTCATTGCCCGATGGATGGCTTTCATCGACCAGCTTGACTTTTTCCCCGATCACATTCCCGGGAAGTCAAACCGTTTTGCGGACGCCCTCTCACGGCGACCGGATCTTTGCACCGCAGTCTACTCTACCTTCGAGATCGAAGACGACTTGCGGGAGAGCTTCATCCGCGGCTATCAAGCCGACCCCCACTTTCACGACAAGTACGCGAATTGCTCCTCTCCGAATCCGGTGCCTTCGCATTATCGGATCCAAGAGGGCTACTTACTTGTGCATTCACGGGGTAAGGATCTTCTTTGTGTGCCGAATGATTCACACTTGGGCACACGGCTTCTTGGCGAGTTTCACGATGCGCCCGCCTCCGGACACTTTGGTGTCAACCGTACACTTGGCCGACTTCGCCAGCGGTTTTATTGGCCCGACCTTCTCAAGGACGCCACCCGATATTGTGAGTCGTGCGAAGTCTGTCGGCATTGCAAGTCACGCAACCATCGTCCGTTTGGCGAGCTACACCCACTACCAGTTCCCCTTGGGCGACAGGAAGCGATTCCTATGGATATCACCGGCCCCTTCCCAAAGCACAAGACCGGCGTTGATGGGATCCTCACGGTCGTCGACCACCTCACCAAGTACACCATGTTTTTGCCTTGCCGCTATCACGCAAAGGCACCGGAGTTAGCCGAGGTCTTATACACCGGTTGGATTCGCTCCAAGGGCTACCCCAAGGAGATCGTTTGCGACCGGGACACTCGCTTTCTCTCCGACTTTTGGGTCGCCCTCGTCAAGCGATGGGGCTCATCTTTGAAGCCAAGTTCAGCTCGCCACCAACAAACCGATGGTCAAACGGAAAGGGCGCATCAGACCGCTCAAGTCCTTCTACTCACTCTCATCCGTCCCGACCAGGTTGATTGGGTTGAGCGCTTGCCAGACGTTGAGTTGGCTTACAACTCATCGATCCATCCGGCTATCGGGATGTCGCCATTCGAGTTTGAGCATGGTTCACCTATCTCATCGCCGCTGGATGCCACTTTGCCGCGCACAGCCAAGAGCGACAACCATCTTGCATTCCTTCGTCGCATGCAAGAGCTTCTTGTCAAGGCACGGGATCAGATGTCGAAGACACAAATACGGATGAGCCATCAAGCCAACCACAATCGCCTTCCTTGCCCGTTCAGCGCCGACGATCTGGTTTGGGTCTTCGCCGCGGAGTTCAGCCTTGAGCAAGACATCTCTCGCAAGCTCCTTCCCAAGTGGATGGGGCCTTGGCGCATTCTCTCTGCAGTTGGTGATGATCCCGAGGGGCCTTCATTCCGCATCGCGGTGCCACCTCACTTGCCCGTCCACACKGTGTTCCACTGTTCCAAACTCGCTCCTTTCGTCTCAGCGGAGTCTGACGAGTTTCCCAGTTGACGTACGCAAGACCCTCCTTCCATGGACRGATTTCAGGAGGCCGGCTACATCATCACCGACCGGCGCCATGGAAACAAACAAACAGAGTTTCTACTTCACTTTTCCTACTGCAGCCACAAGGTTGACCGTTGGCTGACGCGTTCGGAACTGCAGGCCACAACTCCCACCGTTCTCTCACGTTATCTTAGCAAAGGGAAGACTACGCCGAGCACTCCAGCTCCTCGCCTTCCTCGCTACATTCCGCCGTCGGATCGACAGCTTCGCCCGCGCCCCGGCTCGTCTTTATAAGGAGGGGGGCGTGTTACATGCTGGAAGCCTACACACGGGCCCCTCACGGGACCCGAGGTTGGAATAGGGCCCCCAGGTCGCGTCACCGCAACCTGAAGGCCCTATGGCATTTTTACTTGGGCCTGCATCAGAAAAACGCAAGCTTTAGATTATTTTATATTCTTTTATTTATTTATTTGCTGCTGTTTTTCTAACGGTTGTACTGTTGTCCGTTTTGTGGCCAGGTACACGTTTTAGGACCAGGGTCAGATTCAGGCCCAGAGGCTGAGCTCCTAAAAGCGTTTGGTCCTTTTCTTTTGTTATCGAACAGATTGCTACCTGTTCGGACCCAGGCCGACGTTGAGGCTGGGTACGTCCGCACAGGACCGGTTCGAAGCCAAGTACCAAGAAACTGAATCCTGGACAGGGGTCTGGACGTCCGGTAGGGACCCAGGCAGGCCGTTTTAGGCCAAGGGCTAAACCAGTTTCAAAGCCCGCGATCTGGACCGTGGATCGGATTTCGATCCGCACGGCCTTGAACGCAAGCCGTGGGTTTCCAGTCCTGGCCTAGTGATACATAAGCTGGGCCGTTGCCCAGTTCGGGACAGAAGGTACTAGGAGAAATCCAGCGTTATGCTGGTTCAGGAACTTGGCTGCTGCGCTATTTTGGAGACTCCCTGCTGCGCTATTTCGAGACTGCAGCTGCACTGCTCATCGGCCATGAGGCACAGCGCTGGAGGAGTCCATCGCCGAGGAGGGTAGTGGGGAGAGAGAGAGAGAGAGAGAGAGAGAGGACTTACCTGCCCAGCGCCATAGTTGGCTTCGCGGTACCTGCAAGTTCAGCCATCGCCAGGTAAGTGCAGAAAGCGCCTAGCTTTCTTCTTCTTCTTCTTCTTCTTCTTCTTCTTCTTCTYCTCYYCTCYTCTYCTCCTMCTMCTCCKMMGWWSTTCTTCTTCTTCTTCTTCTTCTTCTTCTTCTTCYTCYTCTTCTTCTTCTTCTTCTTCTTCTTTATCAGAGTAGAGATAGAGGTAACTGCAGACATTGTTTTGGACACGGCCTTCTGCCTTATTGGACACGACATTTAGATCGGACTTACACTCTACATTGGGATTGAGCTGTGTGCGACATTCGGAGATCAGACTTGGGTTCGACTTGGTTACCTCTACGTCCCTCCCCCTTCTCTCTCGCATGTTTATGGATCTCTTCCCATGTGTGTGAGCGGAAGGGCAATCTTTCTAGTGTCTTGCCCTTCTGAAGTTTCTCCCTTTGATGTTGTTGTTCACGTGTCCTCTTGATACTAAATCTTCCACTGCGCTGCTTCCCAGCCTATGATGATAGTGATACGAATGTGTTGTTGTTGAATTCTCGTTGTTCCACTCTTTGCATAGTGCACATTGACACCTTGTGAATGTTGCACCTATGCTGCTAGTTGTTGCCACTTTCGTCATTGCTAGATCCTAGGCTTTCAGTGCATTTCACTTTCTGATATGCTACATAAACCCAGTCTTGGGCTCAACACTATTGGTTACGGTGTCGGACTTTCATATTGCGGATTCATTGATCGAGAGCGGCAGGCGTTAACAGGAGTGGTGGAGTATCTGAAGGAAGTTGGAAGGTTGAGGGTCTGTTGAGGCTATCCCCTCAGTTATGTTGATGCTCCCTACCATCGGTCCGATCGTGCGAGACCAATATGTGTTGGTCAACCCCTTTTCCTTCCCACTTCCTTGATTTTCCTTTTGTTTTTTTTTCCACTTGTGGCGGTTCCACCGGGTGAGGTGCTTAGCCAGAGATACAAATGGAGATGGAGGATGAGGGAGAAGCGAGATGGCACAGCGCAGCTCCCACGCAAAATTTCAACGCACGTACTCCAAAACTGTGTGAATGCAAAATGAATCGGAAACAGACAACAGTTGGGGTATACCCAAGCGGACTGACTGGACCGGACTGGACTGGTTGGTACCAACAGAGGTACCGGCCTGGACTGGACTACCCTGAATACAACACAGGCCTGTGAAAACAGGCCAAGGGGCTGGTCTCACAGACCAACCAGAGGTCCGCTACACAATCCTCGGCCTGTGATGGATCGCCTACTAGATACAAGCACGCTTCTGCCAGGAAGCAGAACTCTACCAAAGAAAAAGAAAACCTGAGTAGTCTAGGATGCGGAGCAAGCTCCATGCTAAGTCCAATCTATGCAACCTAGGATAGAAAATGTCACAAAACAACAATGTCACAGCTAACAGCCTAGTAAGTGAAAGCACAAGCAACTAACTAGCATACATGTCCTAGGAAAGCAGAAAGTAATGACAACTAAACCCTAGAATGTTGGAGGCGGTAGCCTCAGTTAGGAAACAGCTGACTAGTGTATAAGTCCTAAGAACAACAAAAGCATAAACAACGAAATCCTACAATATCAGAGGCAGTAGCCTCTGTCTGAGAGCAACAAAGCAACAACAAGACAACCATATGTCACAGGAGAAGTGTGTCGCAACCAAAGGGTGGGATGGTCTCTGAGGGTGGCGAATGCAGCTTAGGGATCGATAACTCCTAAGGGCATGAGACACATGTCACCAGGCTCAATGAGGGTAGGGAACTCGGAGCGAACAAAACCAATGACCCTAACCATCAGGGCGGGTAATGCTCGACTAAAGGGGTGACCGCTATGGAGGGTCGATCATGCAAGGGAACAAGGGAGCCTAGTATACTGGGCGCACCTAGATGAAACATGCAAGGCTGCCTAACTAGGGCGCGAGGGTCGGCAGAGGGTAGAAAAAGTGATGGGTAAGGGAATCATGCAAATGACTCCTAAGGTGGGGGAAGTCGTACCTAGATCCGTAAGCTCGAAAGCCAGGGCAACGCTACGGTCCTGATGCCTATGCGTGTACTAAGGGAGAGCCCAACTCGTAGGAACTCGGCGAAGGTAGACCATCATGCGACACAACCAGGGTACTTGTACAGGGTAAAGTGGTAAGAGATTGATGACGTCTAAAGTAGGCAGAGCTGATCGTGACGAAGTCCATGAAGCTGCCGATGACGTTCATGATGAGATGTCTGGTATGCCGTCGAGGAAGAGCCGCAATGTCGACGAGCTGAAGTGAAAAAACTAGAGTGGATGGAGTACTGAGAAGTCAAAAACGTGGGAAGATAAGTCAAAGTCAATCGTCGTATCGAGCAGGACGACGATGAGTGCGTTGTGGACGCTCAAAAGCATCTGACGGCTACTGAAGGTCTGCCTCAGATGGAGCAGGCTCGACTTCAGTGGTCTCCGCAGCCGAGGGAGAAGGAGAAGGGTCAGTGGGCTGAGGAGGAGCAGTCAACCCAGCAGGGTCAGCACGACGAGCACGGTCATATGCACGCACCAACATGCGAGCGTGCTGCAAGTGCTCGAGGGGCTCCCAAGTAGCCTCCTCATCATGGTAACCCTTCCAATGTACGAGATACTCGACATGGGGACGGTTGCCGTCGGTGAATCGACGACCAATAATGTTTAAAACGAGGAACTCCTCGTGGCGGTCCACCATGATGGGTGGAGAACGCTCGTATGGTCGTCCAACGAAATGCTCCGACGGTCTGCGGTAAGGACGCAGTAATGAGACGTGGTAGACATCATGCACACAAGCCTGGCGTAGGTAGTCGAGCAGCTTCACACGGAAGTTGATCGGACTAGAAGCCGTATCAGAACCGACGGCCTGGAGAATGCGGCACGGGCCAAAGAAGCGACGTCGAAACTTGCGAAGTGTCCGCTTCGAGCTGTAAGTGGCGGACGTCGATAAGCACATCATCACCGACTTTGAATGAATGATCCATCCTCGATCGGTTTGCACATGCGGCAATGCAAGTCTAGGAAGCGACTATGTGCTCATGTGCGGTCTTCATGATCGACGTCACGTGTGCAACCCAATCATGCAGCGCGGGACAACTCGTGTCGGGGTTCATCTGTGACGGTCGAAGGAAGTCTACGGGAACACGAGGGTGATAGTCGAGGTCGCAATAGTAAGGCGACATCCCTGTGGCTGGTGAGACGGCGTGGTTGTAGGCTATCTCCGCGTGGGCAAAATGGAGATCCCACTGCTGGTCGTCACGAACAATCTTTCGGAGAACATCTCCGAGAGTCCAGTTCGTGATCTCGGTCTGACCATCAGTCTGGGGATGGTAAGATGAGGAGAAGCGGAGTTGGGTGCCTTATACCTCGTGGAGTCGTCGCCAGAATCGGCTGGTAAAGCGCGGGTCATGGTAAGATATGATGCTCAAAGGTAAGCCGTGGTCACACACGACTCGGTCAAACACGATGTCGGCGACCTCACATGCACTGATGGCATAGCGGCACGGAACAAAGCGTGCGCGACGACCAGGACGACCAGGATAGCATCATGACCGCGGGGGGTCGAAGGACGAAGAGGACCGATGAAGTCCATCGATATTGACTGCCAACGACCCTCAGGAATAGGAAGAGACTGGAGCAAACCATAAGGCATGTGGTTCGCACTGTTCACCTCCTGGCAGCCGCTTCGACCAGACGTACAGGCGGCTCACACGAGCCAACGTCTTGTGGAAGCCCATATGACTGGCGGTTGCCTGGTCATGAAACTCTGCTACTGCCCAGACACGTAGTCGTCCAGTGGAGGGAACGCAAATACGGGGCTCTCTGGTGCCCTGTGAACCGTGCCGGTACACAAGATCGTTGTCCCTGAGAGAGTAGTTCGGGACGGTCTTGCCACTCCAAAGATTCACATGGATATCGCGATAGTCGGGGCAGTGGCGGTACTGAGTGCGAAACTCGTCGATCACCGAGTGGTGGACGGTGGTGACCGAGATGGAAGCGAGT